GCTCACTGCAACCTCCGTCTCCCCGGGTCAAGCAAATCTCCTGCCTCAGCCTCCTGAGTAGCTGGGACTACAGGAACACGACACCACACCTGGCTACCAGCTAATTTTTAAAAACATTTTGTAGAAGCAGGGTCTTGCTATGTTGCCCAGGCTGTTCTCGAACTACTGAGCTACAATGATCCTTCCTCCTTGGCTTCCCCAAGTTCTGGGATTACAGGCATGAGCCATGGTGCCCAGCCTGTTCCCAGCCTTTTTGTTAAAGCTACAGAGTGAATGGCCCCAGAGGGAAGGTTTCATTTCTGGGTCTCTTTTCAGCCCCTTTCTGCCTTTTCCCCACAAACTCAGAGACAAATGGACATGGCCTGGAAAACCCAGGATGGCTGCTGAGCTCCCTGTGGGTGGGAAGAGGATCAAAAATGAAGTGTGATCATCCCACAGCCTTGCTGGTCAAGACCAAGAACCGAGCCGGGCAGCAGTGGGCAGCAGGTTCTGCTCTCCCTGCGGGCGCCGTGCCCCAGCTGCACAGGGAGGTGCTCTAGGTGGCTGCCGGCTAGAGCCTTTGAGAATAGAACCTTCCTGGTGTTCAATTAGAGGACCCAGACTTGGGAGCAGAACCATAACCACACTTCCAGACTTGGACACGGGAACAAAGGAAAAATAATTTTTCCATGTCAGACACCTGAATCCCGAGGGCACGTCAGGTGCTATTTTCAGAAATCCGCACTCTATCTTCACCCAACACCTTTGCTGTGAGGTCAACTTGAATATTCCACTGTGACTCTTCCCTCACCCCCTCTCCTCCCTCCCAGAGGCAGAGCCAAATGGCCCGGATGTGTGACAATTTGACATCTGTAGGAAGATAGCTCTTTGCCTGCCCAACAAGCCATTCTGCCCTTCTTTCTTTCCAAAATAACCCTGATTCCATCTTGGCAGCAATTTCCTCAGACAAAAGACTTTATGATTGTTACTCTTGTAGACAGAATGGTCACACAGAGGTATGGAGAAGCCCTTGGGTGAAGCTTCCAGGAAAGATCTTAAAGGGACCAACCCAGCTAGAAGTCACATCCTTTCGTCCTTCCGTTCTCTTCTCCCTGCCTGTCTAAAACGTCAGATGGCTGGCACTGTAGCAGCTATCTTGAATCATGAGGCTTCTTTAAAGATAGAAGGTCTGTGCTTAGGCTGACGAAGCAGAGTGACAGAAGAAAGCTGGGTGCCTGATGACGTTGTGGACCCACCCATTCCAGCCTAGACCACCATCCTTTGAAATTCTACCTGAGAGAAAATAAACCACTACAGGTAGTGCTCGACTTACGACCACGATTGGTTCCGACAGACCGGTCGTAACACAATTTGTTCGAAGTTGAGTAGGCTATATGCACGCGGAGATGGTAGTGCTGCCAGAAGCTGGTCCACACTGTCGTACGCCCAGCTGGGCAACGTTTGCGCTGCCAGATGCTGAGCAGTCGTGGCTAGCGACTGTGTTCGTAAAGTCGAATGGTTGTAAGTTGCATAGGTCGTAAGTCGATCAATACCTGTACCTCGTTGGAACCACAGCTATCTGGGTTTCTCTTCTCTGCAGACGAATCCTAAGGCCAAGTAAGGTCAAACCCATGTGGCCCTCAAGGCTGAATGGTTAAGGAGCAGTCACTGTCTCACCTGGAGATTTAGGATGTACCCTTTGGGATGTGCTTTTGGCCCTAGTTCCTCCCAGCAATCAGGTCTCCCAGGCTGTCCTGAAGAAAGGTAGGAGGAGCCACCAAACCCTTACTTGGACCTTCTCTGCAAAGCAGCTGGAGGCACAGGGAGGGGTGTGGAGAAAGAACGGGCGCTGCCATCGGACGCTGAGTATCGGCAGCCAAGGCTCAATGAGGGAAAATCATACAGGAAGTAAAGAAGCAGAGAGGAGAAGCCGGGCTGGGGTGGCGCGGGCCGCGCAGGGCCAGGTCACTTACAGGTGCCCGCGTGGTACTTAAGGGCGCTCACGCTGCGTCTGTGGGCCGTGAATGTGCGCACACGCTCCCCCGTGTCTGCCAGCCAGCACTTGACAGTCCTGTCTGCGCTGCCAGAGTACACCAGTCGGTTCACCAGCTGCGAGGAGGAGCAGGGAGGGTCGGCAGCTGGGCCAGCTCTGAAGCCCCCAGACCCCTCCCTCTAGAAGGGGGGAAGAGGTGGGTGCAGGTCTCAGTGGTGACACCGTGGATGAGCCTGGAATGGCCCTGCCACAGGCCCCACCAGACCACCAACTTCAGCACCCAAAAGCAGGTGGCTCCTCCAGCACCACGGGGCAGCGATGACAGGGCTGGCTGCTCAGGCCACATTGCCCTGGTCAGTCCCTGGCTCTCTGCCCCTCAGCTACTTACCCTGAGGTAAGGAGAGGGACAGCCCCTTCCTCGAGGGCGTGAGTGGGGTGCAGCGCTTAGCTGCTCACTCCTGCTGTCTGGCGGAGGACAGGGCTCCCAGAGAAGGGCTTTCACATGGGCCTTCTGCTTCAGAAAAGGGCAGTCAGGACAGGGAAAGTCCTGAGTGAGGGTGTGAGGTCACTTCCGCCAGGACTGGAGCTGACAGCCAGGGGCTGTCACGGGGTCACTGCTCCCCCTGCTCACAGCGCTCACAGCGAGAAGAGGGCCCCAGAGACAGGCTCCCCCGCCGTCTGATGCTGCTGTCTTGTAGGAGGCATGGAAAGGGCCCAGGAGAAAAGGGGCCTGGGAGTAGCAGCCCCAGGGAAGTGCGGAGACTATTAAAATAATTCTGTAAATTCCCCTAAACACCACCCAGTCAAGAGCATTCCCAGCCAGCACCTCTGGTCAGCAGAGTCCCAGGCAAGAAGACAAGGGTGGGCAGTCGGGCTCCGAAGCTACAGTGACTTGGCACAGTGGCACAGGAGACAGGAGCTTCATGCCCCAGAGAGGCCACCAGCTACCACTACTGGGCCCAGGAGCCAGGAGTCAGAAGCAGGTCAAGCATGCAGGGCCCTTCTCTTGTGGTCAGCAGGCAGCAGGCCCCCATCAGTCCACGCTGGCCACTGGCATCTGGAACACGTCCCTCCTAACCTCCTCTCCCGGCCACGCTCTGGGCCACTTTCCACTAATGGTTCCCCATATTATCTCCCTGTTCAATCCCAGAGGACAGGTGTTCCACAACCCAGCTCACAGCCCAAAGTCAAGGAAGTCAACTGGCCTGGGGCCAATCGCTGTGGCCAGAGAGGGTGGTGAAGCCACGAGGAGGCAGAGGCTGCGGGTACGACCTGTGAACAGTCGCCTGCCCTCTCTCAGCCCTGCTGGGGTTACGGTGGGCCCCAGCCCAGGCAGTTTCCCTAATTGGATGGTCCCCTCCCCAAGGACAGAGATGCATGTGACTGCCCACCTGCCCATGTCAGCTCTGGCAGGGTTCCAGAACATTCCTCAGCTGTTTGCACCACGCGGGAGCGCAGTTCCTGCCGGTAATGCAGGTACCAGCAGGATGGACAAATGGACCTTCCTGAGCCTGTGGGGCACACAGTCCGGTGCTCACAGCCTTTGACAGCCCCTCTGCTTCCTGAGAAAGCCGCCCCTCCCGCCTGGCGCCCGAAGGCCCTGCAGGGCCCAGCTTCCCTGGCCCCACCGCCCGGTCTCCACACCACACGCCTGTGTCCACACTGCTGCCCCCAGGACCCCTGGGCACGTCCTGGGTTTCCTTCAAGTCCTCCCTGCCCAGAAAGCCCTTGTACCCTGATCCTCCCTTGTCCTTCATGGGCAAGTGGAAGCCCAGGACCCCTCCTCGCACCACCCCCAGTGCGCCATGTCTGCGTCCCGGAGGCCATCTTCCCACCACACAGCCAGCTCCAGAGCCAGCCAGGCCTCCTGTGCCTGCATCCCACACAGTCACGGAGCCTCTCGGGCTCTAACAAGAGGAGTGGAGAATAGTGGAACATTTGAGACTGAGACCCCCAAGGGCTGGCCAGCTTCACAGCCCCACACCCCTGCGCTGCTCAGCCCTGCACCAAGGAGGCTCGTTGGGTGTCCAGGGTGGGCAAGGACAAAGGGAAGCCCCTCTTGCTCCCTGGCAGCCAGCTCTCACCACACGGGGCCTGTGGGCACTGTGCTTAGTCCTCCCAGCAGCACCCTACCGAGCAGGGCCGGAGCCACACAGGCCAAGGGGTGCTCCCAGCCCGAATCCTCAGCGTGTAGAGGCCTTGCTGTCCCTCTAGCTGGTTTACCAACAGGACAGGGAGAGTGGCGGCCTGGGGAAGCCTGAGCCAAGGGGGAAGGCAGGATGGCCAGGTCCTGAGGGCTCCCCCAAGCCACGGCGGCTCTGAGGAGGTTCCTGGTGATGAGATCCAACCAAGCAGAAGCAGAAGAGGGCATCGGCCCGGGGCTCCACTGCTGAGGTCCCAGGTGCAGGCCTCCAGCTCCAAGGGAGCCCAGTAGGGGTGGGAGGAGGCCACAGAGGGCCTGGCAGGCTCCAGAGCAGCAGACCCTGTAGGATGCTCCTCCCAAGCAAGTGTCGGGGACGTGCCACCCGACCAGTGACCACCCTGCGCAGCTGTGGTGCTCACAGGAGCGGGCTTGGGAGATGCACAGTCCTGGGTTCATATCCTGCCTCCACCCCTCAGCAGCTGTGAGACGTGGCCAAGTTCCTTGCCTTCTCCAATCTTCCACTGTCTCACGTGCAACATGAGAAACAAGACCCTCCTGCTCAGGAGGCCGCAAGGGCTGACGCACTGCTGTGCGCCACACACAGCCCAGGGGCTGGACATGGCAACTGCCCCCATCCCTAAAATGCAGGTGCAATCTCCGCCCGCTGGCTCTTGGGGGTTGGGTGAGACTCATGAGTTGGTGCAACTAGGCTTCTGCAGCCAGAGACGCCCCCGCATCCTTGCTGTCGTCCCCACCGGGTCCCCACCGCCTCAGGCTCCCAGACCTGGACACAGAAGGTCTTTCCTTTCTGTGGCTGGATTTGAAACGTTTAGTTTCTTTAAAATTGCAATGTTGCTATCTGATTTCAAAAGTGGATACATAGGTGTCTGTTTTAGTATTTGCTACAATTTACAGTTTGAAATGTTTCATAACTGTTTAAAACATCCCTGTAAAACCATGAAGGGACAGGGCAGACTCTCTCTCTCCGCCTTCACAAGGACCCCAGGTCAAGCCCAGAACCTGGGCGATCCCTCAGAGAGCAATGGAGGGGGCTGACCCACAGCACAGGGTACCCCTGGCTTTCTGTCCTTGGGTTTGTCACTTAGAAGCGGGTCCTCACACCACCTCTGGTCCAACCCTCTCCCAAGGAGGCCTGCGTGCTCCCAGCTCTGTCCACGTCCGGCTTCTGGGACCCCTGAGGGCCCTAGGCTCCACCCTGCAGGCAATCCTGTAAAAAGCGAGCAGGCAGAGGCCCCTCCGGGCGTGGCAATTTCTCAGGACCTCACCTCTGCTTTTGGCCACCTTGGAGTGGGCCGCAGGCTCCAGGGAAGCAGGGAAGGTGCTTCATGACTACCTAGTCCCCAGGCTGAGAGTCAGAGGCGGGGTATATGAAGCTGCAGTCTGAGAGTCTGTGCCCCCCAAATTCAAGCTGGAACTTAACCTCCATTGTGATAGCATTAGAAAGTGAAGTGGTCATGAGGCCTCGCCTCATGAATGGGATGAGTTCCCTTTTATAAAACGGCTTGAGGGAGCCTGTTTGTCCCTTCATCAAAGATGAAGGATTTGGCAAGAGCAGCGCCCACCAGACACGGAATGTGCTGGCACCTTGACCCTGGATTTCCCAGCCTCTGGAACAGTGAGAAATACATTTCTATTATTTATAAATTACCTAGTCTAAGGTCTTCTGCACTTTTTTTTTTTTTTTTTTTTTGAGATGAGGTTTCACCATGTTGCCTAGGCTGGTCTCGAACTCCTGGCCTCAAGTGATCCACCCACCTCAGCATCCCAAAGTGCTGGGATTACAGGCAAGAGCCACCTCACCCAGCTCTCCGGTCCACGGTATTTTGTTACAGGAGCAGCAATGGACCAGGACTCTGAAACTCTGCACAGCCTCCTCTCTTCCTCCCAGCTTCTGGAAAGGCTGCCTGAGTTTATCTCCACAAACCAAAGGAGCCTGACCTGCGTGACGTGAGTGGCACAGACACCACAGCTCAGTCAAAAGCGCCATCACCAGCAGCTCCCTCAGGGTCCCGGTGGACGCCCCACACTTGGCCCACCAGGAAACCTTGGCCACTCTCTCCCGTGGCTCTTGACTCACAAGCACACGTGCTTCTTCAGCAAAACGACTCCAGAGGCGGCTCACAAAGCCACTGTGGGGACCCGGGAGTCTCAAGGGCACCTGGGAAGGAGGGTGCCCGCTTCTCCCTCCTCGGGGCAGGGAGCCGTGGGAAGCCCTTTCGAAAAGCTTACTTCCTGGTCTTAGGTGCACCTGCCAGGCCTGTACCCACAGGCAGGGGTGGAGAAGGACGCCTGGAGGTGGGCATGAGGCCCTCTCTCATTTGGAGGAAGGGGAAGGAGATGAAGTGTCATAGCCCATGGCTCAGTGCCCCCAACTGCATGCTGAGAGCAAGGAGGAGCACCAAGGGGGTCTGTGCTTCACTCTCAGATGGTAACGGTGCCAGCTGCTTCATGGGGTTTCTGGGCTGAGGTGGAGGAGCCACCCGGCTGCGCTGGCTGAATGCACGACCTCCAGCCCAGCAGCGCGCTGAGGCTTAGTGAAGACCCCAGGCAGGCCATGGGGCAAGGATCCAAATGCAGGAGTGCAGGGGGCACAATGGCCAGCCCTGGTGCTACAAACCAAGGGACAGTCAGAGCTGGGGGACACAGAGCACTCGCAGGGCAGGGCTGGGGAGCAGGGAAGGAGCTGGAAGGGAGGAGATGAAAAGTCCCTGGTTCAGTATTCAACAATGGAGCTCTCCCTGTGAAACAGACAGCCCGGAGCTCACTGCACACCCCCGACGTCAGGACCCATCTGGCCACCCCAGGGGCAGCCATTGTGTGTCCCCATGTGGCAGAATGTGAAAAGGGAGGCCCCCACAGACAGGGAGGCTCTGGAAGTCCCACGGTGTCCTGAGGCTGCAGGCCAAGGGGACAGTATGGCGCCCACCTCCCATCCCTTTCCCTCCACACACA